ATATATTTATAATAAATAAAATAAATAATAAATGTCAACAAGTAGAAATCTTCTCGTTATTTACATTTGCATTTTTAGACTGTTTACTTTATGTTTATAATGGCAAAAATCTAGTAGGAAGTTCAAACATGAGTAGGCCCATTGAATCATTGAGGATTTAATAAGTCAGCTCCTCCATAAGTTCCACTGATTACACTATCAGAAATCTTCTCGGTATTTACTTTTGCATTTTTAGACTGTTTACTTTATGTTTATAATGGCAAAAATCTAGTAGGAAGTTCAAACATGAGTAGGCCCATTGAATCATTGAGGATTTAATAAGTCAGCTCCTCCATAAGTTCCACTGATTCAATAGGCCTACTCAAGTTGCTCCTTACTACTGGATTTCAACCATCGTGTAATCCTCACCCACCTCCATCATTCCTCATGTCACAGATTGGGCAAAATCCTATATATGCAGGCATAACAGAAAGCTACTCTTGCATAAATGTCTGGTAACAAGGTACTACGTAGTTCAATTGCATGATTAGTCATGTGTTCCTAGAGCAACCAATTGCCCAATACAGCAGAAGACCTGTTTTGGTACCTTGGTTGCCCTGCCATTTAACTTGAAGGACTGCAGTAGCAAATGGGATTTTTGTTTATAGGTATTAATTTTGTAACAGCTTTGCATCAGGATGACATATCAAAATCGCAGTTTTAGAAGAAGCGGCAGTTAGTCTTTAAGGCACCACAACATTTTTGTCTTCTTTAATTATTATTTTTCACTTGTTTTTGGCCTGATATATCAAAATCACATGCATCACCGTCATTAATCACATCACACAGCAATAAGATTATATAAAATAGAACGAGGAATACAGAAACAAAAGAAGAACATGGAATGTTTTCTAGACAGGATGAAAACGAGCACCACAAACATCTGAAACAGTATGAACAATTCTATTCAACCAAACTGAAAGTCTATGTAAAAACATGATCATACCAAGGATATAAAACTGATGCTTTTCTGCAAAGAGAGTGTTTTGAGGAGACACTAAGTTTCCAATACTTTCAAACAGGAAAATTCAGAAAACCTAGATGCACCACTAGATGAAACCTTCGTAATGCACACTAGATGATGCTCATGTACACTACATGATGTTTGTGATGCTGAAGAAAATGAAAGTATTTTTCTTTGTGAACAGTATACTTCTGGGAGGTGTAACACTGTCTCTGTTAAAAATTCTGCAAGCAATTCCTTTATAAACCTCTATTTTAAGATTTTTATACCTCAACGGTCTGCATTCTAGATGTAGCTTGGCATACTATTTAAAATGAGACAGGGGACCTTTTAATTTTTTTAAAGTCAGCTATTTTCAAGAATATGTCATGCTTGAGAAATCATATCTCCTTTTTTTATTCTGATAAAAGATAATGCAGGTTTATAAAAATAGCTAATCCTGACTGTTTTCCGGTTCCAATAATGGAATAGTCATGTAAGACACTATGGAAATAAGGTTATCAAATAACTTACATATTTCAAATGTCCTTAAACAGCATTCATTTCAAACCTACAGTGATATTATTAATCTTACCTGCTATAAGACTTTGCCTACTTACTTGAAAGAAAACCCACTTATATAGAACTTAACTTCTAAATATGTTAGTATGTATGAAGGATGCTACCTGAGTACACTAGTTAAACATACCCAGGCTGTACTTCTGCACTTCAGTAACTGGAGTGTGAAAACAATCATATAATGTCTAATAGTTTTATACTAGTGATATATTAACATGGATAATCAACTTTATGGATTAGAGTTAATGTTTAGATGAGAATGTGTACTACTCTGGCAGCTTGTGACTGGAGTGAAAGAAGGCATCATCATTTTTTGGCCAAGGAATCACTTGCTCCCTCATGCATCTACTCCCAAGTCAGGGCACATCTGGCTGCCAAAGGCAGTCCATCTCAGAGATCCATCTGAGAGAAAGAACCTACTGTTGATCTGTATTCTCAGTCCAGACCTTGCTGAAGGTTCAAGCTGGGACAGCTATAAAATCGTATCCATTTCTGACCATTTGTTACCATCTTTTTTTGTTTTGTTTTTTTGTAACAGACAGCTAAAGACACTCGCTTTACTTGCGTGGGTGGAAAGTATTCTACTTTTTCAGAAATACTGGCCTAAAACACGTTTCTTTCTCCTGTTGGATAGTATTCTTGCCTCACAAGTACTGTAGATGACAAGTTTGAGCCTCATTTCAGGTCTTGGCAGGAATGAAATGTCTTTCTATATTAACACTAGTGTTTCTCCTTACTATCATGAAGCCGTGTTTTGCTTGAACTTAGTCAACTATTATTTGTGGTTGCTTTAGGATTGCCAAGTTCTGACAAATGATGGATTGCATAAACCATGGCTTGACGAGAGCCTGGAAATATAAGAGGAAAGAGAACGACATGAAAAGGGAAGGAAGTGTGCAAGCCTAAACCTCATTCATAATGATAAAACACGATTTAGCAATCTGTCTGAACCAAGCTGTTGTGTACTGCAGTACAATGCAAGGATAGATTAACAGAAGCAAACCTTGGAAAGATTTCATGTATTTCAAATGAACTGAATGGGCAATTTACACAAGCTGTTTTAACCACCGAGCCTCGTGGCGCAATGGTTACAACTGTTGTACTGCAGCCAAAACTGTGCTCACGACCCAGGGTTCAATCCCAGGTAGCCGGCTCAAGGTTGACTCAGCCTTCTATCCTTCCGAGGTCGGTAAAATGAGCACCCACCTCATGGTGATGGTGGTGGGGGAGAATGTGTAGCCTGCATAATTAACTTGTAATCCGCCCAGAGAGTGCTTGAAGCACTATGAGGCTGTATGTAAGCAGAAAGCTTTGGCCATAATGATGTGTTTCAAGCAAGATGACACCCACCAAGACCTAACTGGCCATTTTCTGTCTTATCTCCTGAAAGACAAACTTATTTATTTACTCTCCCCGCACTTTTTTTTAATTTTATTTTTTAGATGCTGTCCTTCCGTTCATGGAATTTCTGCTCAGCATGTCATGAAATCTATGGTGAACTTCTGTCTGAAGATGCAGTGTTGACTACAACAAAGAAAACTCCGTCTAGAGAAATGTTTCTTTGAGGCCACGGGGGCGGGGAGGGGCAAATTTCACTGTCTAAGGCCAAGATCAGCGACTTCCAAATGCCTGAGAGCTACACAGGCCAGCCCCTGTATTTTGGACCTTTTCTTTAAAAAGTCTTTTTTTAACTTAACCCTTCTCCATTCCTTATAGTGACCCAAATGTTAAATTTGTGTGTTTACGGTGGACCTAAGGATGTTCCCCCTGCCCCCCCCAAAAAAACTTGACAAATTTTCTTCATGGGACTTTCTGAGCAATTTTTAAATGTTTTACAATTTTGGGGTACAGCCCATACAGCACACTTTGCCCACTCCTGGTCTAATGGCTTCTAAGTCAAATATTCCTTGTGATGAAAAATTTAAAAAATCACTGAGGCACTCCCATCATATCCCATTATTACTAATAAAGTTCCATATAGGAACATACTGGTTTCTGAGAGCCTTTATTCGCACAAATAAACTCTTTCAGACTTTGTCAACTTCAGACTTGCCTCCTTCTTGTGGCATTCTTAAGGATTAGTCACCACAACAAAAATGATAACTTACAATGGCTTCACCACATTTCTTTGATGTCAAGTCAGTGTTTCGGAGGCAACTAGAAAATAAATCCATGGACCAAAGGCTCATGTGTGTGAGCTTTATCTTTATTGTAAAAAGAGGGAGGCATTTTAGCATTGTGGAAAGCCATCTCTGCTCTTATACTACACAACCTTTCACCATGGATTAGTTTATTGTCCTATAATTATAAACAGGATTTAAAACATCAGTTTAGACTCTATAGGACAAGGCGAATTATCATGCACTTTTTATTCCTCTCAAGTTATCCTTTCTGCTAAGCATCCAATCCCTGAAGGTAATACTTTAGATGAGAAGGTCGCAAGGGATGTAAAAAAAGAGAAAACAGGTGGCTGAGGAGCCTGGCTTGCTCTACCCAAGGACCCTGAAAGTCAACTCTAAATTATCCTTCATGCAAGTGCGGCAGGGCAGGAAGGGTCACGGAAACCCCTTCAAAGCCTCTTAATCAGGATTAGGTGAAATAAAGTACCAGTGGAGTTGCTTTTGAGATTAGGATAAGCATCTGAGCTTATCTGAACCAAACCTCTGGAGGTTCCCTGCCACAAGCTAGAACATGTTAATGCTTCAGACTGAAACTCTCACTCATTTTTCTCCTTTACTTTGCTAAGCTGATACTCATTCACCTCTACCCCAAAGCCAAGAAAGTATTCCCTAGGATTTTGCTGATTTGAATATTTGAAAGCTTTTGAAGAGGGGGGAAAAGAATAAGCTGACTGTGCAAGCACAAGAAACATTTTAATTAGGTTGCTTCTAAGCCTGTGTTAATCAGTAGCTGTTCAAAACAGGAAACTGCACACCTTCTTCACATTTCTCATTTTAACCTTCTTTAGTACAAAGTCTGTATATTAAATTAAGATCTAATTATACAAGTTGACGCCTTGGCCCATTTTTCCCCCGAATACAGTATACCAAATCACTAAAATCTCATAATAATGAACAAAGGCTGCTACTGTTGCTAGTGGTAATAAAGAACACTTTTCTTGTTGAAGCTATCCTCCTGTATAGGACTTAGTTTATCTGAGGAAGAAAGTTATTAACTCAGAAATCTTTTTTCTACAAAATATCATTTAGGCTGAAATCCCAAACATACTTTCTTAGAAGTAACTTGGATTGAAGCTAAAAAAAACTTTTGATTATTATTTATCAAATCTCAACCCCTTCTTTTCTCCCCAAACTGGGACTCAAGGGTCAGTATTTTATCACTAGTCCCAACTAGAGTAGACCTGTTGACTCAATGGTATTTATATTAGTTTACAGTTCAGCAACTGATTCAGTGGGTCTATTATTAGTTGATATCAACAATATGATACTGGTCATTATGATTAAATGTTATTAGAACAGGCCCATTTCCACTGCTCCTTTTTCATTATTTTATTCTGTAGTACGGCAGAAACTTTGATATTTGACCAGTTTAGGGAATTTTTGATGTTATTTTGCTGTCTTTAGTAATACAGGGATGTCACAAATGAATGGATGATATGATATGGGATAGATTATCATATGTTTTTAAAAACAGAAAAGAAAAAGATACAGGTGGCAGAATGAGTGACTGAGGCTGTACTGTACTAATATGGCATTTACTTGGGTATAATCTCCTTAATTATGATAGCTGTGGAACATAATTGATTGCTGTTCAGGCTATATTTTGCAAATACAATGAAATATTAGCTGTTCTTTCTTTTGTTTGGGGTGTAATGGGAAAAAGGCAAGCCAATATTATCAAGAGGTTAGGAATAATAAAATAAAGCTGATGTTTTCTTGTTTTGTTCTCTATGTTCCATCATTTGTCACTGCCAGTCTGTATATTTGCTACTTGTCTTTAGAATATTAGATTGTAAAGCACTCTCTTATCCAGTAACTACTTCTAACCTCTCTCTCTCCATCCATCATGTGGCTATATAGAGCAGTTTGTCTTCTTAACATCCACTCGCTTTTCTATCTCACTTCTGCTGTAATTCATCTATGCACGGTTTGGAACTCTGAGGAATAAGATTCCTCCAATGAATCACAATTCATGAGCTATTCCACAGGTATTTGTTTCCTAGGCACATGACTGACAGATTGTCTTATTCCATCACTGAGTGTTTTGATCAGATTCTCCTTAAGGGAGAAAAAGTACAAAGCATGCAAAACAGCAACAGGCATCAACATATTGGGAGAAAGAATAATGATCTCCCATTCGTCCGTATATACAGAGAAACAAACAATATAAGTTGGGCAAACAAAATATCTGCACAAATTTCTATACAAATGTGAGGCCCTTCATAAACAGATCTCTGCAGCTAGCATTGTGAATTTGCTAGCTGTTGACATCTACAGGACTATAGAAAGTCCCAGGCAAAGTTTGTGCATCTCTACAATATGAACATGCATACCTACCAGTGGATGTTAGCAATCACCAACACAGAATTGTCAGCATCCATATGTATGTCAAAAATGAGGATTATATAGATACAGGTACCATTCTGACCACACAATTCAGCAAGAGCTGTTAGCATTCATGCAAGCAATATCATATGAGATGGAAAATCTTGGCAATACAATTTCATACTGTAAGTGAATATACACAAAACTGAATCATCTATGTACCAAATAAAAACTTGCACATTAAGGGAAATGTATAGCTGGCTCTATTTGTGGTGCCTTCCACTTTTTAAAGTATGGAAAATGATTTCAGATGAGTCACATGGTAGTCACCATCTCCACCAGTCAATGTACAGTTGACACTGTTTTGCCTGCTCAGCTGTTTGAGAGATCTGTGTTCACCACCATTCTGTGTTTTATGTCCATTTTTTTTGTCTGAAGTGAAAAAAATTATTGTTGGTTTTTGTTTTGTTTTGTTCCTGGCACATAGAACTAGACACAGACTTGTTTTCTCCCACCATAAAGCTGGATAATAAATGAAAAATTCCCACATCTGATCCAATAATACATCAGCAGTGGGAAGGAAATGTTGGAATGATTCTGGGTGAGTCTGGATAATAAAATCAAAAGCTTGGTCCCTCTTCCCCAGCAGTCAGCATCTTCACTCCTCCTTTCATATGAACCACATGACAAATCAGGAAATCTTTCTTGTTGCATGTGAATTGGTAAGTGTGGTTAATAGATCTGGTATAAGATAGGGTACTTCACTCTGACTCAATAGACTAGCTTATTATGATGGTGCTAAACATAGTTTCTTGGTTTCAACTAAATGGAAAATTACAGTTAATTTGGTACAGCTTGTCAAAGTAAAGGGCTCTGTGCTTAGCCAAAATGATTATTTAGTTTAAATATGATTGTCTGAAAGCATTTAGTGAGTAAGACAATGCTAATTTCATTCTACAAAGTATTATGCAAGACAAACTCCATATCTATGGGCACTAAAAACTTACACACCATTCCTCTGTGGAATTAACTATGATTATAAATAGGAGTTAGATGCATCATGAACCCAATTGTACTTAACAATGTGTCTGTCTCTCAGTGACATGAAGGAAAAAAACACCCACTGATTTTGCTGCTCAGTGGGGTAAAGGCACAATTACAAAAATAAATATAGAAATGTTCTATACAAACAGAACTGTTTTATAGTACAGATATTCAGGTTGTTGTCACAATGGCATTATATACATACTTGAAAAGCTCGTTCCTCATTATGGCACGATTTGTTTGAGGATCAATGGCATAGATCATAAGGTCTGATTTCAGATAATCTTCTTCTGAGTAGCCATCTCCATATCTGCGAGCACCAATAGATTCTACCACAACCTTTGCACCAGGAATCTGGTCCTGAACGTAGCGTTCCAAAATCCTGATCATGGAAGGCAATGAAAACATATTTTGTGACTTCTTTGGCATTTGATCATTTTGCATTGAGACAAAAGTTTAGATCTTGAGGTTAACACTCCACAGACCCTAAAGGACTGGAAACAATATCCAATTTTTTAAAAACTGAATAGTTCCCAAAGAAAAATGTAACAACAGGGAAATACTCCTCAAGCTTTGTGTCCTTTACTTCTTTGTATTTATTGACAGCATTTGAGTTTTAAATAACTTTGGGGAAATTCCAGTGATATCTCACAAATAAAACTGCTAGCATTATACAGGAGTTGGCCTCATCTCTTTATAGAAAGCAAATAAATTTTCACACACAAAATATGCCCACCATGAGTTCTAGTGGAATATTTCATAGGTACAGATAGCACAACTTAAGAGAGCAGGTAGTAGTACATCCTGTGAGTGGGCCAAGATGAAACCTTATTTTAACAAGCAATATTATGCTGTATTCTTTTATGTTTTATTCTTATTGGTTGATGTATATTTTCAACAACAGATTTTTCTGTAATGAGTCTTAAGCATCAGTATCAGCTGTGTGTGTCTTAGCCTGTTGTTCTTGCCGGAGATTCCGAACATTAATTTCAAAGGTAACAATCCAACAGTCCTAAAGACATAAAATAAGTTTTACACCAGGCGAAATAATTGGAGTGCTAAGCTGACAGGTTTACTACAGGAAAATAAAGAGACTTACAGTTAAACCACATGCATTATACAGAATCTGACAAATTGTTGAAATGTAGCTTAAGCTATGTAGCTAGAAAAATACACAACATATCAGGGATGCGCAGTTCACAATTGTCCTGGCACTAGCAAATGAAATCTGTTCATGGAAAAAGGCTTCTGTAGATATAGCCAATGGATGTGCGTTTATATTTATACAATTCTTAAAATGGCTTCCATTAAATGCTTGCCAAAACAGAACTTTTATGACCCTCTTTTCTGCCTCAGGCCAGTACTACAAACTCCATTCCCTTTCTTTAAACCACTACACTACCTACCCACACTTTCACCTCTCTCATTTTATGTTTTCACACACCATTTTCTTTCTTCCAAACATTTCTACATAATTTCCCTTTCCTGTCTACACCCTGCAGTACCATCCTGTCTCTCTTAGCACCACACCTTGTCTTTCTGCACTGCACTTTGTTTCTTCTTTCAGTTTCTTTCTTTGATTGGTTTTGTCACCCCTCCTCCTGTGACTTGTCCTTGCTGAATTTGGCAACAATAGCATAAATAGCTTTCATTCCCTCAGAAGGTGATTACATTGCTTTAAAACCCACCTCTATTTAATTCGGATTTACAGTGGGGTCTTGACTTGAGAACTTAATCCGTATTGGAAGGTGGTTCTCAAGTCAAAAAGTTCTCAGGTCAAATCTGCATTTCCCATAGGAATGCATTGAAAACCATTTGATCCGTATCTGCTCTTTTCCGTCCATAGAAACTAATGGGAAGCTTCTATTCCGCCTTCGACCACTAGAGGGGGATATTTTGTTTTTTTTTTTCCTCCCTCAGAAGGTGATTACATTGCTTAAAAACCCACCTCTATTTAATTTGGATTTAGTGTCTTTTAAATAGCTGTAAAAATGATGAATACATGATGCATGTGTAAGAATAGGTTAATTTGACAGGAAATTGTGTGTGTGTGTGTGTGTGTTTGTTTTGTTTTGGAGTGGCAGGGAGTTTTTTTTAATTCCTTTGACAGAGGTCCATTTATTTTAATGTGGATGTGGAATCAACCCATTTAAATTAATTCCATCTATACAAACACCTCTGTACATGAGTGGGGGCTGGAGAGAAGCTAGGCCACCAAGTAGCCTGCAGCCTTTCCAAACAAACCATACTGTTCCAGTCTCCTTTTAATTGTACTGTCATCAACTTTCACATTTAACATGCTAACTGAAGCTTGTAGAGTTTGAGATGTAACCCTTGGGTTTTTTGTTTTGTTTTTTTTGCAGTTTTTCTGAGCATTGCCCAGTCTGACCTTGGGGTGAATTTGCTTGAATGTCTATTCCTGGGAAGACTGGTAAGTGTCTTGAATGTTTTTCACTTGTGAATAATCTTCCTCACTGTAGAATGATGGATTTTACATTTTTGCAAATAGCCTTATAAGCCTTCCCAGACTGATGGGCAGCAACAATTGCTTCTTTACGGTCATTGCTGATATGTTTCTTCCTCGGCATTGTGTTAACACACAACTGAATGCTCTGGATCAGCAAACTGCTAAAACATAAGCTTTTATAGAAGTGGTCACGCTGATGATTAATAACTCAAGGGTATTTGGTTTGCAACACCTGGCTGTTACTTAGCTACTTAGTTTCTTAATTCCTATGGAAGCAGAAAGGGTGTTTGTAGTTTTTCTCATGTGGCTTCTCCAATTTGGCTTTATTTTTGTTAAACAAATCATGACACAGTGTATTTACCTAATTTCCAGATCTGCTGAGGAGCAGATGAGTTTTATTATGTCCTGGTATGTGAAGCAAGCGAATTCAAAGATGATGTATTTTTAACATTACTGTACACACCCACCTGCCTTCCTCTCTGAATTCCAGCCTGAGGTTGGGGAGAGAGCACATGTTTCTGGCAAGGGTGTTGCTTCAAAAACACCAGATTAAACATTGATTTCAAGGGAACACAAATTGCAGTTCAAACACCATGTGATGTCACATGACTCGGAATCAATTTAAATTTATATCAATACAAATTCTGAACTATTGCGTTAAACAGGCCCTTAGTAAGCCATCCAGTAAATGGGGCTAGCCACACAGGATGACTCTCTCTCTGTTCACTGTTACCACTATTAAGCTACAGCTTTCATGCTAGTCTGCCTGCCCACTCAGATATTTCAAGAGGGCTCTGCTTCACTTCTTTGTCTCCTGCACCTTTTGCCTCTTAATAGTCACACACAAGTTGAAAGAAATGTTTCACACAATGAAATCCACCTTTCTTTACAAAAAGAAAGCTATTACCTTCCATATTAGATTTACTACATTAACATTGTTAATAATCCATTGATAAAGGGATTTTTTAATAAAAACAGCTACTGGACTCATTAACAAGTTCAAAAGCATTTGAGGATTTATGAAATGCTGTCAATCTGACTAATAAAAGATAATCACCCAATTTCCTTAACCATTCTTTTAACAACAGATGGTATTGTTTTACTTCAGTAGTAACAGGTATGATCTAACCTAGTAGCCACTCTTGCATTAAATATATTTCTTTCTCGGAATTATATCTGATACAAAATTACACAAAGAGAACTTACAGGCTTTTATCTTACAACATTAAGGGACATTGGTATATGTCAGTGTTTCCCAACCTTGGTCCTCAGATGTTCTTGGACTACAACTCCCAGAAACCTGTCCAACAAAGCTACTGATGAAGGCTTCTGGGAGTTTTAGTCCAAGAACATCTGGGGACCCATGTTTGGTAATCACAATCACTAGTGGACATTAGCTGAAATCCTGTTGTGCAATTACACAAATGGTGTAAACATTTAAGTGAATTGTCTTAAATTAAGAAATCTTCATAGGCAGTATTTGTTGCATACTGAATCCTACAATTGTCATGCAACAGACAAAATTTTCAGATATTTCTTAGCTTATGGCCATTCACCTCCAAAAGCTACCCTATTTGCAAGAAGATTTCAACCATTATATTTTAGAAGAACCTTATTTATCATGCTCCACAACCAGATTTTCAAATCTGACAAGTTTCTAAGAAATTAGTGGCTGGAATCCCTTTTTTTTTTGTTATAAATTTGGAAGGTGCAACATCAATCCCTCTTATCTGGTAATTAAGAGTCCCGGCTGGGATTTTCAAGCATGCACGAAAGCAGCGCACGGGGGGGGGGGGCACTGAAGAATCCCAGTTGTGACTTGTTAATTGCAGGCTAGTTATAGCTGAATATTATGTTTTGTGCCTTACACATGCATGACAAAGCAATGGGAATTCAGCCACTGTTTTCTAAACTGTGTATTTAAAAATTAATCATCTGGATATAATAAAATAAGAAAAATTGGAACTATGGGACTTGTTAGCATAACTCCTAGTAACAGAAAATATTGTTTCTTACCCCTTAAAACTCAGTAGTGCTAAATTTTATCTTTTTCTCATAAACCAAAACTTCCAGTTTATCCATAAAGATTGAAACAGCTCTCCAAGCCCTACAGTAGGGATGGTTTTCCCCAATAAGCTGATAAATCCCAATGTTTTCTGGACGGACCCTGCTGCTTGAGCAATTGGCTTTGTTGATGCTCCGGTTGACCTCTGGAAGGGGTAATGGCAGGGCAACTGGCACAATTGCTCCTAAAAGTATCCCCTCTTATAGAACGTGGTCAGGAAAGCACTCTTTTCCTAGGGACATGGCATTGGTAAGGTGAGTGGGATGCAGACTAAAGCAACAATGGAAAAAAACAACCTCAGATCAGGTGTGCCTGAACACACCCACTGAAAGGCCTGTGCGGTAGTGGTGAAGAAAGCCTTCTTTACCCTTGTTATTTTATTTGCTCAAAGTAGTCCAGGGGAGCTATCTTAAATGCTCTGGGACATGAGAAGAAGATGCAGATCATTCAACAACCTGCTATAAAGAATTTGCACACTGCCTTGCAGGCACAATTGCTCTGACTTGGATGCTCCAGTTGACACATCTACTGTGTATGTAACTTTGGACCCTGCTTGTCCCATGATAATGGGTATGTTCTGGTTTCTAAAGTTGTAAACAGAACAGTCTGAAGTTGTGGGCAGAATCCTTGAAGAGGTGAGAGCCATTGCATGCGTGGACCCTCGCCTTTCCTGGCTTATAAAAGCTGGTGGGGCTGGCCAAGGGTACAGGGAGTGATGAATGCCTCCTTACAGCAAAGCAGAGTTCTGACATCCTAAAGGAGGCAGCAATAAGACTTCTACTGAAAAAAACACCTCTTTGAATCTCACCATACTGAAAAGTTCCCAATATTTCAAACTTTGGTTATGGGG